GAGATAGGAGCCTCAGAAGGGTTTACAGGGCAGTTGAGGAGGCGGGGTCTCTAGGTGCTCTGCCCACATTATAGCAGCATCACCACCAGCAGGAGTCCAGCAACACAGCAGCAGCAGTGGCAGAGGTACCAGCATCACCACCAGCAGTGCTCTAGCAGCAGCATCACCATCAGCAGCAGTCCAGCAGCAGCAGCATCACCATGACAACCACCACCAGCAGCAGTAATAGAGGCACCAGAGGTGGAGCCTCGACGTGACAGTGACATCAGCAGCAGCAGTGGTGTCAGAGGCAGCAGCAGAGACCATAGTGGCCCAGGCAGTAGTGGCAATAGTATTGGTGTCAAGGATGACAGTGAAAGCTGCCATTAGATCAAAACCGAGTCTTGGGACAGTTTGGTGGCATTCTGTCTCCCTAAGTAAAAGGCCCCTTTGAGCTTCTTTACAAACGTGTTAGCAGTATGTTCTCTTTGTTCGGTGGTTTTCGTGTTTGCTTTGTAGACTTTAAGTTTTGAAGCAACTGTTCACAGATGGCACTTGCTTTCAACTTCATTATGAGCTCCCAGTCATGGATATTATAGTTCTTCTACACATAAAGATATATTATAGTGCTGGGAATAGTAGCCTTGTGATAAGGCACTTGCCTAGCATGGATAAGCTCTTTGGTTCCACCCTCAGCCCCATAAAGTAACCCATGTTAAGTTGATTTAGATATTAGGTACATGAAATAACATTTTATGCATTTCTTTTCAGGAGTAGTTTTGCCTCTTAGATGACTAAGCAGTTTTACAAGTAACCCTTCCTGCAAGTCTAACAGTAATAAGCTCAACTCAGAGGAAGCAGAGTTTCTCCTGTTGCACAGCAGTGATGTCTGCCTCCAGAGAAATGGATCCGGTTTGTATTTTAAATTGATCATCTCTGTTTTTTTCCTTATACTAAACTGAGCTAAATTAAAGTGAAATTCATAGATAATAAGTGCGGTTTTGACAGTGCTCTACAAAATTTCAGTGAGCATTTTGTGTATAAATTTAAGAACATATACTTAATATTCGGGTACTCCAAAATTGAATTGCAACAAGTAGAGTCTATATATAGAACTCAATTTTATGAGAATCTGACAAACAGCTTTTAAAAATGGTTTGCCTTTTAAAATTTTCTGTTGTATTCTGCTGAGTTTCTTAATCTTTGAAGTTGAACAGAAATGTAAATTATTAAACTATATTTAATTTTGCATAGCAGTAAACACATTAATAAATGTAGTTACATAAGAACATGTATATTAATTGAAGTAATATAGGCAAATTTCAATTTCTATCAACTGTTGTGTTGGTTTTTTTTTTTGATTTTCAAAATGTTATTATTTTTATTTGTATGTGTGCATTTATGTGTGTAAATTTATACCATGCGTATATAGATGCAGGGAAGGGTTGTCTTTGGAGCTAGATGAAGACATTGGCTTGCCTGGAGCTTGAGTTATAGGCAGTTGTGAACTGCCCATTGTGAGTTCTTAGAACAAAATGTGGGTCCTTTAGAAAAGCAGGAAGTACTCTTAGCTACTAGGCCCTCTTGCTAGCCCACAAAGATGACTTTTAATGAACAGAGCTAGCGTAATTGTCCTCTGAACTTTTTTTTTTTAACTGCTGTGTTTTTCATCATTGGAGTCAATGCTCACTGTCAATTATTGAGAGTCATTTTTGAGAATATTTACTTGAAAACACAAGCTACCATAGAAGGTAAACTACTATATTCATGTAAAGATTGTTACATAACCCAGTTGTAGTTATTTTAGTAATCTAATCAGTGGGAGGTAATCACATACAGAGCTACCAAGTCTGTTTACTTTAAAATGTCTTTGCCTCATTTCTTAGAATAATTATTTTGCAGATATGTAGTGACTGTTCTTATTTATACCCTGTCTTATTTCAACAACATTTTAAAGTGTTTTAGAAATTAATTTATTAAGCGTAAGACTGATAGCTGGGAATCCAGAATTGGACCGACTCAGACTCCCTGAATATGGGTCTCAGTTAGAAGGCCTGGGCAGTCTAAGGGACCTCTAATAGTGGAACCAGGATGTTTCTCTGGTGCACAAAAGGACTTTAAGAGCGCATTCCCCATGGAGGGATACTCCCTTAACCTACAGGCAGGAGGGAGGGCCTAGTCTCTACTCCAGATGACTTGAAATATTCTGTTGAAGCCTCCTGGAAGATACCACTCTCCCTGTGGAGTGGGGGAGGGGGAATGGGAAGGGAGGGTGGTCTGGGGCATGGGAGGGAGAGGGAACTGGGTATGAAGTGCTTGTGTTTCCTAATTTGACCACATGGGGGCAGTCCTTGCTTAGGAATCAAAACTGGTGCAATGCTCTGGTCATGATCCGTTCTTCGTTGTTAGGGTGTTAGTTTGTCTGGGAGCTTTTCTGTTTTTGTTTGTTTGTTTTTGCTCTTTTTTGTTTTGATGTTTTTTGGGCTTTTTGAAAGCAGTTTCTACACTGAAGACTAATGTCTCTGCCCTGAAGAACAGGAGGTGTTAAATTTGGTAGAAAAGGGGGCTCTGGTGTAGCTAGACTAATGAGAACATAGTTCTTCAAGTATACTTTTTCTCTTGTTTCCTGAAAGAAGGCCCTTGGCATACCCAGGCTGTCCTTGAACTCAGCATCCACTTGCCTTAGCTTCCTGAGTTTTGGTATTACAGGCATGTGTTACTATCTCTAGCTCACATATACCTTTCTACATAGGGATAGTATTTAAAATAGGCAAAGATCCTTTGATAATACAACAGATTTTCAAAATTTCTAAGAAGTGAAATTAAAGTTCCCAGCTTTTCTTTTTGTTATTTTCTATTTCCTTTTAATTTGCTAAGAAATCTTTCTCCTATGCGAATATGAATATCTCCTTAGGATAGTAATGATTGTATGCTTTATGAGTATGCACCAAAAATTGCATATCAGTTATGTAAGTAACATTAAGCAACTAGTTGTTCAGTATATCAATGCTTACTATTTTAATGAGAAAGGCTTAAATTCCAATTACATTATGGAGTTCCTCTAAACTGACATTCAAGGACATACTCTATCCTGAATCTCTTTAGACAGTGAAATCTTAGCCATTTTATATGTTCCTTTTTCTTGTGTATTAGGACATTCTGAGCAACTTTTTACTGGAATTCTAAGTCTAGACACTTCTGCTTAAGTCTTCTTTCCTTTATCATTTATTTGACTGGCAATTATTTCATTCCTTGTAATATGAATTTTTATTTCCTCTCTGCTTTAATTAAGACATCTGAAATATTGGTGAAAATTAAAATCAACTTAATAGATAAGTACAAGTAAGGTAAGGTCACTATTTGATGTGACTCTTACAGAAATAAAGTATTAACTATTTGTGGTTTAAAACCTATTCTAGGAAGAACCTCACCCACCTGAATTTCATGAAATTGACGAATCAAAAGCCATTTCTGAAATCCTGAATCATTTTCAGGTATGACACTTCTCTTTTCAGTGTGTTTTTCTAGAATGTTAAATTGTGAATATTTCTTACCTTATATGAGGGAGAACTATATCATTAATTGAAATTTTGCCATATTAAATTTCTTGCGATTATTCACCTCATTATGATTATTTTGACAGAATAATATTTTCAGGTGAAAATTTGAAATATCACTATGTGTATTTTAGATCATTAACAACATTACCAGGTTTATTTATATCTTTTCCAGATATGTTGCCTAATACTAGTTTCCACTATGAAACTTTTAAAATAAGATTTGTATGCACTTTTAACATGTGCCTAATTACTTACATATTAGGCTATCACAACCGTAATGAAAGGGTAACCTACTTGTGTTTTACAATGAATTTATCTTAGATAATTTTGAGGAGAAATCATAAAAATAGGCTTGGGGTTAGGAACTGATAGGAGCATCTAATTATTGTGGATCTTGTGAGCTGTATACTTCAGAGGCAATGACAATTCAAATAAATGGTTCTTATCCCATGGGGTTTATGGAATAGACTGAACTAACATAGTTTGAAAAGTGAAAGTTTGTGTGTGTGTATGTTATCTTTTAGACTGATACTAGTGAGGACATAAGACATAGTGACAGGTCTTGGTTTTAAGATTGTACAGGAGTACCAGAGGCTGGACAAGGCTGTCTGACCTGCAGTACCCAAATCTTGGCAACCCTGAAGCCTAGAGTGTAGTGTTCAGCCAGGGGACCAGTAACTATGCAATAGGATATGACATTGTGAATGAGCTATGCTTAGGTTCCCAAGCTATGCCCCTAAAGGGGCCCTTGAGAATCCTGTCATTTCGCTGAGTGTGCTGACATTCATGCTCTCCTTATCTGTGTAAGAGATAATGGAAACAACAACATGTAATCTCAGTACTTTGAAGGCAGAGGCAAGAGAATTGCCACAAGTTCAAGGTCAGCCCCATCTATATAGTTAGTTTAAGGCCAGCAAGGGCTACACAGTGAGACCCTTGCCATAAATAAAACACAGAAACAAAGGAGTATCTTACTATTTGGGGAGTGTGTATTTTTTTTTTTTACTGTTTTTGCGATTATAATATAACTAAAAGTTTTGCCCCTTCCCTTTCCTCCCTCCAAACCTTCTCATATACTTCTTCTTGCTCTCTTTGAAATTCATAACCCTTTTCCAGCAATTGCCACTGTATTCACACATACATACACTTTTAAATACACCCTGTATAGTGTTACTTTGTACAGGTTTTCATGTGCCTGTTGAAGTATCTTCAGTGCCAGAAGATGGGTGCATCACAGCTCCTTACAGCCTCATACCTGTATTGCTGCAGCCACTTCCCATTGAAGAGGGTGCTAAATTAGGAGACAAGCATCCAGTGATGGTCTCACAGTGTCATTGAGTACATCTTACATGCCATAGCAATGAGGAACATTACTGAAACATGATGAGGGTTTTTCTTGAATTGCTCAGATATTTCAGGAGCTGTGATGCACTCATCTTCTTGCACTGAAGATACTTCCACATGCACATGAATCCACTACTGCAGTGGCAGGTGGTAATTCAGCATCTCAGCCAGGGTCCCTTAAAACCAGGCCTCTACTAGAAAATGTGATGTTTCTGACCACTGGAGAACTTCCATTGTGCCTAACAATTAACTCTTGGCTTTGTACATTTTCACATGTGTTACTTTTCTTTTGACACAGCAACTACTAATACTTTTTTTTTAAATAACAGGTTATATATAAAACTGTTCAAAGGCTGGAAAAGAAGTTTGATCACATGAATGAGAAAGTGACAAAAATTTATCAATCTCGTGCCAGATCCTTCTGGCGTTACCCTGTAAGTGTACAAAAACATATCACAATTTTCATAAATATATTTTGTCTAAAAATGCCAGTCAGTGATAGAGATCTAGTAAATGTGGGATTATCAAGGCTTATCTGTACTGACAGGAGGGGCAGATGGAGACTACAACTCTTTTTGAAAGAATAATCAGATTCAGGATGAATGAATGTAGAACAATGTACCCATAAATATATCAAATTAAATGTAGGTCAGAAGAGGAAGAAAAATCATGTGATCAAAAGAGAACACCATTTTCCTAATGTGAAATAATGTTGTATAGAAACCTTAATGTCCTGACTACTATTTTTATCTTTTTGTTATTAAGCCTCTTAGATCAACAACCAGAAGATACAGTTATCTGACATCTAAGAGACTTAAAATGCAGAGACTAAGACGATTCATTCATGATAATTCTATCTCCTATCCTCAAAGTTACAGTCCAACTTCACCAGTCCGCACAAGGGATGAAGGCAGCCAGGATATGGAGAACATCCAGACTATAGATTACACCCAGACTTTCCAGTATGCTGATGCTATTGACAACACCCAGACTTTCCAATATGATGATGCTATTGACAACACCCAGACTTTCCAGTATTCTGATTCTATTGACAACACCCAGACTTTCCAGTATTCTGGTTCTATTGAGAGCAACCAGACTTTCCAGTATTCTGATTCTATTGACAGCAACCAAACTTTTCAGTACTCTGATTCTATTGACAACACCCAGACTTTCCAGTACTCTGATTCTATCAACAACAGCCAGAGTATCCAGAACACTGAGAACAATAGTGATTCCTCACCAGAGAGGGACTATCAAGAAACTCCACCTAGTCCTACATATACTGCACAAACCTACCAACAATATTACAGATATAAAAACATTCCTGGGTCTTCTACAATGACCTACTACAGTGACATTGAAAATACCACCTCGGACACCATCACTTCTGCCACTTCAACAGTGAAGGAAGCAAGTCCCCTCCCTCCAGGGGAGCTCATCCCCATCCAGAATCCTGAAATGAAACGATTGGCTTTACTGGAGGCTCAGCGTGTACCTATGATTGATCCTACCACTTTTGGTGAGTTTGGAATGGCAGCAATGATTGATTAACATCCTCAAAGTAAGCTAGTAGAAGTCTCTTGTTTGCTATTTTGATGGTTGATTTGAGTTATATATACAATGGCAGCTGTTTATTGAGTAGGTATAATGAATAAGGCAGTGTGCTAATAAACTAATATGGATTGTCTCTGGTGATCTTCATGATGTCACCCTTGTGAAAGTGAAATCCACTTTCTTTATCTTTCCCCATAGTAGATACTCAAAATGAGCATAATGTGGTAAGAAAGAAAGGATGGCCTTTTGGATAATTCACAAACAGAAAAAAATGAAATTTCTATTGATTCTCTTTGGTTAGAAAAAAAGATCCAGCCAACAAATTACCAAGTCCCCTTCATTTGTCATCACACATTAACTGTAGGGGGTCAAACATTCTGCTTAAATTAATATTTGAACACAAAGAAGTTTCTATACAACTTAGTGAACAGCACAGCTAATATCTGCTGAGATGTGAGCACTTCCATTGTTTCATGTATCATTTCTTTATTAAACAAATTCAGCCAAAACATTTATTGCTATTCAATTAAACATGAAAGAATAATTGCATAAAATTTCAAAACCACTACTGATTAGACTCATCAGAAAATATTTTTTAAAATTCACTTTATCATTTAAACCATAAGAAATGTGTATTTAGAGTAAAGGTAAATCTAAAAATGCCAGTATTGAACATAAGGGAGAGATTTGCTTCAAAGAACTTATCTTGTTACCTAAGATAATTGTGGTTATTGAAATTAGTTCATAGAACTAAAAAAACTAAGCAATTATAAAGTGTAAGCTTGAGGGATTTACACTGCATTTAGAAAAAGATGTTTAAGAGAGATTTTCAAGTTCACTGAAACCCTTAAAGTAAGCCAGAGTACTGAGTTAGCTCTGAGTATCCCAATTTAATCTAAGTAGCACCCTTTCCTGTACTTGCTTGTGACCTAAGAAGCCTTAGATTGGTACACATGTTTCATGAACATTGAAGCTTTTAGGTGCCATCTAAAGTAAAGCTGTTACTGCTCTTTGGGGAAGGTCCATTAACACACTCTTATACAGCACTACTCAGATCTTCATTCAGGCTCTCATGCAGTTTTACAGTTGGAATCATGAGTCCTTATACTTAGGTACTTAAGAGAAGGTTCCAGGAGTGAGTCCATTACTTTCTACCTAACATCTCTTCTTTTCAAGATGCTGTTCAGGTTTAAAATGTTTTCCCTCACTCATTGTTAACTGCAGGTTCATCATCCCAGTGTAATGATGCTGTTGTGAGACACCTTGGAAACCCTTTAAACTGGTCTGTGAATGATGTGATAACATTTCTGAACCGTTTAGACCCTCCGTTGGCAGACCAACTCTACCCCACCATCAGAAAACATGTAATGTATTTTAAAATCCAGTTTTTGTGGTACTGTAATGCCATTGAATGACCTCTGTGCTCTTTCAATTGGATATTCAGGGAAACCCTATGACCTGATTTAATTTTTGTTTGTGAAAAAGTTGTCTTGTCCATCTTAGATATCTAAATACCTATTACACTAAATAGCCTCAAGTTCAGTAGTTCATGATTGCAAGTTTTAGACAGACCTTTGTCCTTGCAAGGGCAAATACTCAAATCCTCCCCATACTAGCTCCCTGTTCCACTCCAGGACTTTATCCACAGTGCATACCAGAGTAGCCCTCTTGTTATGATATCAAGAAACTAATTCCAGCTGGTAAGTTCTGTTGTAAGTTGTGATTCTGATGACCATTTACAAAGCAACATCAAGGTTAAATGTTAGTTTTCCCTTGTATTTTCTTAAATATTTTCTTTGGTGTCTTAAAATTTTGATTGTAGAGGTCTTTTACTTTTTTAGCTTGGTTTATTCCTAAGTCCCTTTAAAAATATGGTGAACATGAACAAGTTTATTTTCTCCTCTAATTCCTTTCTTGGCAAAATTTTTAAATTTGTTATATAGAAAAGCTATAAATTTTTTTTAAAAAAAATGAGAATACAGACTACTTTTATTCTGATTTGAGAATTTTCCTATAGATGTCCACTACTTTAGGTTCTTAGACTCATTTTGTCACCTCTTCCAAGATAATTTCTGAGTCTAGGGTGGCAGCATGCGGGAATCACTGCATGTGGATGAGTTACGGGTCTCTGTATTAATCACCATGTTCTAGAAAAAGAAACACACACACACACACACACACACACACACACACACAAAAATATATGATGTAAGGGGACAGCTTACTGAAATGTTCATTTAGAAGACTAATAATAGTAAGTTCTTCCCTAGGGCCTATAGCCTATCTAGCCAAAGGATTTTAGATGAATTCTGTCTTATGGACCAGACTTTAAATCCCATGAGAATGTGGTTTGCTATTCCCATAACGTTCTTGCTGAACATATGCTGAACATATCTATATTTCTAACTATTTGGGAGGCTGAGGTAGGAGGATCACTTGAGTCCAGGAGTTCTGGACTATGTATTCTATGCCATTGGGTGCCCACACTAAGATGAGCATCATTATGATGACCTCCTGGGAGCAGGGAATTACCTAAGAAAGTATAAACATGATACAGGTAGGAAGCTACTGGTTTTGTATTCTGTGACTATTGAAAATTTAAGCAGATCTGAGAGTTTTATGATGGCATCTCTAGGGTCTTTTAAGTATAGGATCATATGACTGGAAAATGATATAATTTGACTTCTTTCCCATCTGTATTCCTTTTTAGTTTTTTTTTCTCTTATCTTGCTGTTATGAGCTGTATTTTAATAGATTCTACTTTTTTCCCCCCTAATTTTACTTTCTATCATAAGAGATTCTAGGTCTCCCTAGACAAGAATATGTGATTAAAGTTTTAATTTATGCTGGAACCTACAAAACAATATGCTTAAACTTTATGCTGGAACTTAGAAAACAATTAAGTAGCATAAGGTAACAACAAATTAAGACAACAAAGAATTTTTGTAAAATTGCCTTGTGACTATAAAGTAGTAGAATATCTATATACCATTTTTCAGTATAGAAAGAAAACCAATAATTAGTCTTAACATTTAATTAGTTTCAGACAAGTAACTCACTTTCATATAAAGACACACAGTTGAACATATTTACTGTGTGCATTGATGTTGACATATTTATTGCTAGCCTCTATCATAATGTTAATAGCCATGGAATTAATTTCTCCCATTCTTTTTTACTTTTGTCATAGATAGATACATAGAATTTTTTTCATGACACAGTATTTAAAATTTGGTCATTTGATGTAGTTAATTTTAAATTACTAAGTTAAATTTGCCTTTTTCTTAAAATTGATATGTATATATGTTTCAAAATGATACATTGCTGTGCAATGGTATTTTTGATAGTTTTTATAGTGGAGATACTCTATAGTGAGAAGCTTAATTTTTCATGTTCTTAAATACAAAGGAACAACTGCTTATCAAATATTGCTATGTTTTAATCATTTTAAAAATTTTCCCTCTATAGGATATTGATGGGAAGGCCCTGCTGCTGCTCAATATTGATGTAATGATAAAATATATGAAGATGAAGGTGGGAGTAGCCATGAAGTTTGGGAGCTACATTCAAAAGCTTAAAGAAGGAGTAAATTGTGGCCAGTAAAAATGTTTGTAGAACTTGAAATATTCTCATAAACCCCTTCCTATTCTCATTAGCTTTCATTTTGGAGAAGGTTCTCCTAAAATATAACATTATCATCAATGTGTTTTGAGGTACATATAACATATTACTATTAACATGCACATGTTACTTCTTTAGATTTTTCATTTTATAGATTAAAAATATGCTTCACCCAAGAAACAAACAAGCTACCTTTGATTTGAGTTTAACTTTATACATATACATATTTTAAAGTGACTACAGGGGAAATATGAGGAATTATAACATATGAATATTTTTCATAGAACAGAAATTAAAGAACATAAAGTTACCCTTCTAGGATATTTTATCTATACAATACTATAGTATCCTTCTTGTGTTCTACAAGTTTTTAGAAAAAAAGAATAGCCATATAATTTATTCCCCTCTATTTCTATATCTCTGTTATGATTATTCAGATTCAGAAGGAGAAAATTAAGTTTATGAAGTATCCAGTGAGTTTCAGACAACTAAATATACTTTCCATTTTTAAAAATAACTTATAGTATATGTAGAACGAGATACTATTTCAGACTCAGAAGGAGAAAATGAAGCTTATGAAGGATCTAATGAGCTTCAGACAACTAAATATTCAAAGAGGATTTTAGATGTATAGAATGTTTGTTTTATCTAAGAATTGTACTTCAGGAGTAGTTTGGAATAAGTTGGACTACAGTTTAAAATACACACTAAATTAAAGCCTCCATATTTTTAAAATCAAATTTGGACATTTATCTTAGAATTCATTGTTCAAATGTCTATGTGATTATACTCATACTCAAAACTTCAAAATATATATATTTTATTTTATGTGCTTATTCCTCATGAAGGTATTATTTATGTTTCAAAATTAAACAGAAGAAAATATTTTATTTTACATTTAAAATAGTACTTATATTGATACAAAGGGAATGACGAGCTGTTTATCAACAAGATGCTTTTATTCTGTGAACTGTGTATGTTCCACTTGCCCCTATTAATCCTTCTCAGTTTAGCCTTCAGAAAATCAGAAACTATGCCAAGGCTAGTTTCCACATATGGAAATGCTCTGTCTTGTGTCATATTTTCAAGAATTTAGGATGTTCACTATTGACAGAAACAGTCATCTGACATGTTTGGAAGTTTATTTTATAAATTAAAACCTTCAATAGAAACATGGATCATTACTCTTTTGTTATGGCTTTTTGTATAACTTTTGAAATAAGATAAACTGAGAATTGGTTACTAATAATATTGGCTACTTGTTGAAAATGGTAATGAAATATTAAGCAGGGGCAAGGATTTGAATTATTTATTTAGAAAATAAAGGGTACTACTTTCTGAATACAGGTGGTTTAAAAGATTGCTTTATTTATATTCCTGCTTGTATGTAAAGACATTCTAAATTCATACTTTACAAATTGTATAAAGATATTATGCACAATTGAACATCACTCATATGCTTGAAAAACACTGTGTTCTGTATTTTTCTGATTTCAAAATATAATAAAGCCAAATAGCTATAAAATTAATAGCAATGTCTCAAGGTTTTTAAATTGAAAATTCATGTAATATATTCTGATCAACCCTCCTCATCTCCTTCCAGATACTTCCCAATCCCCACTTACCCACCCCTCCAAATCCATATCTTCTTTTTCTTGAGAAAATTCCCCACCAAATAAAAACCCAAGCAAACCAGTATAAAAAAACAACAGCAAAAAGCACAACACACAGACACACACCATAAAAATACAAAATTGGAAACCAAAACTATACAAGCAAAATACCAGTAAAGATAAAAAAATGACCAAACAAAGCAATATTAGGGAAAAATATACAAAAATATCATTGAGTTTGTTTTGTGTTGACCATCTACTGCTGGTCATGGGACCTTCCCTTATGAAAGCCAGTGAGACTCCATTGGAGAAACCTTATTTTCCTTTGCAAGCATTTGTCATTTGGAGATCTCTTTTTTGGTAAGGGGTGGAAGATTTTGTCCATTTCCCCTTCTTGGTACTGAGACCCCATCTGGGATGAACCTATGCACTCTTATGCATGCTGCCATAGTGTTTTGTGGGTTTGTGTGTGTCAGTTTTGTTGTATGTGGATGACACTGTTTTCTTGGTGTAATACATTCCCTATGGCTCTTACAATCTTTCTGCTTCCTGTTTCACATAGCTCTTTGTACAGAGGGCTTTGATGAAAACATCCCATTTAGTATTGAGTGTTCCAAAGACTCTCATGCACATTTTCCAGTTGTGGGTCTCTGTATTATTTCCCATCTACTTCAAGAGGAAGTGTCTCTGAAGATGGCTAAATGAAACACTGAACTATGGTTATAGAACAGTGTCATTAGGAACCATTTTATTGCTATGATCCTTTAGTAGAGCAATAGTATTTGGTTTTCCCCTAGGCCCATGTATTACCTCTCTAGTCTCAGGTTATATGCATGAGAGACATTGAGAGGCAGCCCGGATGGCCATCTCTCAGAGATTCAGAATCTGGTACCCAGAAGACAATAACTCAATCTAGTGATGCCCAGATGGGTAGTCTGGTGTAAATGATGCACCAAAAACTGTCTGAGGGCTGTAGGGAGGATAATTTCTTGAGTCTGGCAAGATGCACCATCCAGTTGGATATTATTTCAGATTTCAAGAGCCTTGTTCCTTGGAGTGGGTGAGTTGGGGGGTATGGATCTGGAAAGGCAATGAGCAAGATGGAAAGGAGTCCCCCAGACATCTCTATTGTTTGTCAGGTCACCTGATATCTCCTCCAATTTCCTTTAGCTTCAGGTGTGTTGACTGCTTGATGTCCCTTGATAGATAACAACTACCTTCTTGGGGAGCTAGACCACTTCAAGGAGAGAATTTCCTCTTTAACAGTTTTTCCTTCAGCAATTAATGGGTCTCTTGCCTTATAGATAATGGCATTGGCATGAACAGTAGCAAAGGTATACTTGATGTCTGTATAATACTTATTCATTTGTCTTTTCACCAGTACAGATCTTGAGTGACAGCAATCAGTTCTGTCTTTGATGTGCCCTATGCCAAGGCGTGTGTCCATATGGTGACCCATTAGGTAGTAACTGCTACCCCAGTTCTCCTGACTCAGTTAATGACCAGTCTACATCCATAGGTAAGCAGGGGAGTGTCAAGGAATTCTAGGTGACTGGCCTGAAAAATGTTCATCAAATCTTCACAGTCATGGAGAGGCACCTTAGGCATCAGTGCCACAAGGCTGAAACTGTATAGCAATAAAAGTAAGACAGGACTGATAAGTAACAGACTTGATATTGAGTGATTTGGGTGTTTATCATTCACTGGCCATTTGCCCCTCATAAAAGGGTTTCCACAGCATGGGGAGCCATTAAAGTCAGATTCTGGCTCAGCATGAGCTTGTCAGATTCCTTTACTAGTATAGTGGTTGTGACTATGGTGTCCAAACAGGATGACCAATGGGAGGCCATGCTTGGACATATATGCTACAGGTCTCTGCCAAGATTCCAGGTCTGAGTTAAAAAATGCTCTTTTCAGTGCCCCAAATTTCATGGATGAAAAGATGGAATAGTTTAGTTACATCTGGTAGAGTCAAAGCTGGGGCTCTAGTTAGAGTCTGCTTTAGTTCTTGGAAAGCTTATTCCTCTGTTTCAGTTCAATTCAAAGGCTGCTCTTACACAACAAGCCAGACAAGCCAGAGCCTGCAATATCCTGCCACCTCCAAGAATTCACACAGCTATTTCTTGGTTTGCAGACTAGGATCCAGAAGATAGCTCCCTTCTGGACAACAAGGAAAGTTCTACCTTAACAGAGTTTCTTTCCCCAAAGACCTCTCTCTGGCAGGACTAAGCCTCTTTTATGAAGACATAATATCCCTATGTCTAGAGCTAGTGTGATCAGTAAAAGATCATCTATGTACTGGAACTTAGTGGAATCAAGGTGTGGCACCCTGAGTCCTGTTCAGTATTTGTATGCTTCTCTAAAGGGCAGTGGAGGGATTTTTGATCCCTTGGGGTACTTATGTCCAGGGTAGTTGACTAGTCTCATTGGACAGTGGATCAGTCCATTCAAAGGCAAATATGGGCTGTCTCACTGGTGACAAGGGAATGAAAAAGAAAGCATCTTTAGTGTCTAGGACCATATAGACTGGTATTCTGGCAGGAAGAAGACTGAGCAGAGTGTATGTATGTATGTATGTATGTATGAATTTGGAACAGTAGAGTAAAATATTTCAGTCTGCTTATTTATCTCCCAAAGATCGGACACTTGCCAGTAATCTTAGGTCTATGGTTTGTAGACAGGCAAGAAAGGCATATTCCAAGCCACCTAGCCTGGGACAGGGCTGTTGGCTTCCTATAGCCTCTTAATATGAGAATAATTCCCAGTCTAGTCTTTTGGATCATGGGATATTGCTAGACGCTTATGTTTGTGGCTGCAGCCAAGAAACTTACCTCAATTAGTGGGTCACCAGTGTGTTACAAAGACTGAGGCCTTGCCTCAGTCCATACCTTAGGTAACAGTCAATGTAAGTCCTGGGGCAGGATCCCTGGCTCTGGATTTGCTTCCTCTGTAGAATCTGGAAGAGCTAGAAGGCATTCTTCAGGTAGAAGGGCAATTAAGATATGTTGGTAGGAAGCTGTAAAGGAAAGTTTAGTTTTACAGGAGTAAAGGCCATGGTGGTATCCTATTTTCAAAGAGGATCTCTGCTTAGAAGGGAACAAAGGGCAATCTGAAACTACCATGAGGAAGTGAGTCATCTGTGACCCAGGTGTTCTTTCAGATGTGAAGTGATAATCTTTAGTCATGCCTGTGTCTTCCTATACTGGCTTCCTACACTGTACTTCCTCTACTGTTCTTTTATTTGTTACCAGCCCCATTGGAGTTTTAAAAACAGAAACCTCTGGCCCAGTGCCTAATAAAATCTGAAATGATGATCTCCTATTGACACAGTAATCAAGGGATCTTGGATGCCTAAGAGGGTAGAGGCTCAGGCCCTTCATTCTGATTCCCTATCCATCTCCTTTG